TGAACTGCCCTCTGGAAGACATTATGCGGGCTGGTATGTGGACTACTTCTAATACTTTCCTACCTCATTACTTACATGATCTGGCTGTTTACTGAGGGTTTTGTCTACTGCATGTAGCTATTTTGACCACATCTGTTAGATTTAAACCAGGGGTGAGTATTTACCTCAATCATATACTCTTTTAATTCCAGAGTCCCTTTATTTTTCACTGGATTCCATTCTGTGGTGAGTGTTTCCCAGGCAGGTATTCCTTCTCTTTTCAATTCTGCACTAGCAACCACTTTGACTATAATACTACAGGTTGCAAGAGTCTCTGTCAAAATGTGGTTTTCCATAAGACTATCTAGGTGCCTACTTATTGTTTTGGACCACCACTTATGGATTATCATGAGTAAAGCTAAAGGGGATCCTGTTCATCCCTGCTGATCTTCAAGTTGAATAAATCGTGATTGGTTTGCTTTTAAAAATGTAGGCAGCTTGGTTCACCTATTGCACATTTTCCAGAGCACTGTTCCTCAGGACTCCCCAATGTGTGTTACCCCCCAGACTTTATTAGTTGAGCTCAGGAGGCCTTATCACCTCCACTTTCCACTCACTGGGTGGGGTGGACAGAGGCTTTTCCTCTAGAGTGTTTAAGTGTGTTCCTATACTTTTGGAGAAGATGAGGAAGTTGGGGGCCCTCCTACTTTGATCCCTGGATGTTTTTCCTAGATGTCAGTAGGAGTAACACCAACCTCTGTGGGAGCCTACTTGTAATTCCTGTTCAGATTTGACACAAAGCTATCCAGTTTGGATGTGCATGATCCTTCTCTTTGACCAATATTGGTTTCATATATTGTTCATGGATGGAAGTCCACAATGTCCTCATAATTCTGAACATAAAATGGTCCCATCCTAGATCCTTGGTTGAGCACAGGTTCCACGTCCTCTCCATAATTTGAGGGGCAAGCAAAATACTCCTTGCCCACTTGGTTGGGGAGTGAGGATGAATGTTCATAATTCCAGACCGGATGAGTTCTCTTCCTTTAGTTGAGTACTGTATGCACAATCCCATCGTTCTGAGCCTGGGGTGTTGCCTTTTGGACTTCTTCAGCATTACTTACTCTCTCGTTGTGAATCCAGTGATGCGAAATGTATCATTCTATTGGGATCCAATCAAAAGTGTATGACATTGTGGTACAATAGCCACCAACATGGGATATAGTTACCACGGCCCCTTAATTCCAACTCGGAGTTGTGGAACTTCTGCTATCTGGTTGGGCTGGCCTATACTGATGATTACTCATATTCTATTCCACCTTTGATATAGGAACTGAGTTCCAGGTGGAGAGCATACCTGTTCTGGATTTAGTTTTGTTCCCCCACTCTTATACCATCTTTATCTTGGTACACTCCTTTTCTATCCAGATGCTTTCTGTATCGTTCATACCTTCAATGGCCCCTCCACCTTCTTAATGTGGGATTCTAACTAAAGTGTCAGTGGAAGTAAGTATGTTTGGGAAGTTAACATTTTCCTGAATTGCAAATGAATTTCCAATAATGCTTACCTCTGCTGACACTCTCCCACCCTACCTCCCCACGAAAAGCCAGTTTATGTCTATAAAAAAGTGATTACATTATCTGAATGAGGTGCTTATATACAGTACTTAGATAGAGGGTGCATTGAAGTTGGTGGATAATTTTACAGATTGGAATTTGCCAAGGGCATTCAAATGGGGTATAAAAGACTGGAGCAAGTGTTTTAAATGCTTAGATGGGTAAAGAGTGGAAACCCTAGAGATCGAGAAATTGCTATACTGTCGGTGGTGGTAAGTATTACTGGAAACATTTTAAGAAAATCTAGGAAACTCTACTTATTAATTAACTTATATTTAATATTTTACATTGTTTACAGTGCTTTGTGTTTAGTCATAAATGTTATTAATTTGTTTATATGCTTTGTTTATTTCACAGTTATAATATTAGTGTGGATCAAAACATTCCTTTGTGCACAATGAAATATTAACCTGGAACCTGTACATTGAGACAGAGATAAGGCATCAAAATGAGGGTTTGTGCAGCAGGTTCTTGTAAAAGTAACTCTGAATTAAATTTAGGATTACTTTTTCACCCTCTTCCTAAAGATGACTTTGTGAAAGATCAATGGATTGATTTGCTTGACATAGATGATTCCAAAATATCTGATCAGACTAGAGTGTGTTCTCTACACTTCAAATCAAAAGATTATGGAACTGTCAAAAGAAACTTAAAAGCAAGTGCATTGCCATCTCTATATCTTTCAAAGGAGAAATCTGTTCCTGCTGTAGATGTTTTTGATAACACAGGAGAATATGATGATATTGAAGGAAAGAAAGGGGAAAATAATTCTGAAAGTGATAAACAGAGCTCAGATAAGGATACCCACCAAGTTACCACTGAAACAAAGAAGGAAGAAGAGGTAGTTTAATTTTTTTAACCCATGTTTATTATATTAAATTATATATATATATTTATCATTGTAATAGTTTTAATCCCATATGGTACCTTTCCTCTTCTCACAGATATAACTATTCTCGTTCAATGCTGTCCTCTGTATGCAAAAAGTTTTTTGCATGCCACAAGCCTTAATCTCCCACACATCCCACGATCAACATGATTCAACTGTGTCTCACATATAAATCATCATGCAACAATCCTCCACCAATAGGAATGCAACATACTCTCCTGACGCATGTGACTCCCTCTACTTAATTATACCAAACTATCATTTCTCATTTGGCAGTGCTATAGTCAAGACATTTTTTGTTTATCACACTCTGGTGGGCCATTTCTCCATGACAGAGGATGCCCAAGGTAGAGTTTCATATTCTTATACCCACTTTCCTGCTTTTCATCCCTCATGATGCTATCTTAGATTTGTTCGTCACGGGATTGGGTACCAGTTACACATCTTACCCTTTGACCTTGTTTCAGATCCATCAGTCTTTTGTCGGGAGGTCAGAGTCTTACATGATTTCAGCATGCTGGGGAATTGTACTTACACTACAACTTGGTTGTCTGGCTTCTCTCAGCTCATTTCGAACTGGAGTTGTCACAACATACATACTCATCTGCTTCTTTCTCATGCAGCTTGGGTGGTTGGATTTTCCAGTGGAAGAAGTCTTTCCTGTTAGCTACCTAACAGTCTTGTCTTTTGGGGGTGTCTTTTTCAACTCCCAACTCCATCAGGCCCATCCTTCTTCTCTTCAATTGCTTTTGTAACCTATCTTACTGCATTTAGGGGATGTGGCTTATACACAGGGTTTGCACAGACCTTGAAAAGTCCTTGAACTTAGGTCTATCCTTGAAAAGTCCTTGAATTTTGAATTAAGAAAAAATTGTTTCCTATTTGTAAAAATACCACTACATCTAGAGTGTTCGTATTAGTACGGGATAAATTGTCAAAGTTAATATGATTAAAAAAAATTAAATAATCACATCATTGTTTGACTGCCGGCTGCGTGTTTTTAGTCGCATATTTTACCGCTGTGCACACACTCAGCAAATTTTGGAAATTGATATGTTTGGCAGTTTTCGAGTGAGTCACATGGCGAATCGTGCATGACCTCGCACCACTTGTATTGTGATGCAAGTATTTGAATGTGATGCATGCAGGTGTTTCCATTTTTAACCGTGCATGGCTCTTAGATACAAACTTAAAGCAGTGGATTCGAGAGGTAAAGGGGGACACACACAAAGCATTGTGTACAATTTGTAACAAAATTATCGATCTCTCCTCAATGGGATTGAGTGCCCTGACTTCATATAGTAAAAGTTAAAAGCATAAGGATCTTATGAAGGCCACAAATTATGGGGGATTGCATATGTTTTTTGTTGGAAAATCAAAAGAAATTAGACCTAGATCTGTTGAATTTATGAGTGCAACTGGATTTAGTGTCCATAGTAGCAGTGCCAGTGGTAATGCCAGTGACAACGACAATGACAGTGGTGATATTGATGAGTCAAGCAATTTGAGGCCTACTAGACCTAGTACTAGTGCGAATAGTACTAGTACACTCAATAAGCCTAGCTCTACGTGGATATTGTGTACCAAAAATGATGTTCTTAAAGCAGAAATTTTGTGCACACCTTACACTGTGTCGAAACATCATTCATACAAATCTAATGAAGAAATTTCATTATTATTCAGCCAGATGTTTCCAGACAGCGAAATTGCAAAACAATTCAGTTGTGGAGAGAGAAAATCATAAAGCAGAAATTTTGTGGACACTTTACACTGTGTCGAAACATCATTCATACAAATCTAATGAAAAAATTTCATTATTATTCAGCCAAATGTTTCCAGACAGCGAAATTGCAAAACAATTCAGTTGTGGAGAGAGAAAATCATATTTATGTGTGTTTGGACTAGCTGAACATTTCAAGAGTCGTCTTTTAGAAAACATTGGGATGGGTACTACACTGTTCTTTTTGATGAGAGCCTAAATAAGAATTCGCAAAAAAACCAGATGGATGTACATGTGCACTATTGGTCAGACAACAGAGTAGTTACCAGCTACTTGGATTCAAAATTCCTTGGTAAGGATAACAATTAGCATTTCTTTATTTTTGATTAGACCCTATATAATTAAAAACTTAAAATTAAAAAAGTTAAATAGATAGATAGTGTCTTACTAATTCTAACCTCTAGGCCTGTTCCTTGGTTATTGGGAACTGGTCTGACTTGAATAAAAAATTTGCAAAGAGAATAAAAAATAACAACTTAGATTTCATTTATTAAAATTTTATAAACATTCTGTTACAATTTGGGTACCGGTGCAACATGGATAAATTGTTTGCAAAGAAAATGATAAAGGAAAACTTAGATTTTATTTATTAAAAGTTCATAAACATTCTTTTAACATTTTTATAAACATTTTGTTGCAATTTATTAATTTGTATGTGTTTTTATTTTAGGTCATGCAATTGCAGAATACATGGTTGCGTATATCGAAGAAGCAGTAGAGATGTTGAAAAACCCAAGTTAGTGTAAATAAGCATGAACGGGCCAAATGTTAATTGGAAATTCCATGACATCATGAATAAAGAAATGTTGAATGACGTCCAGTTAAGAGTAGGGTGGTGGTGTTTTGCTGGTGTAGATGATGAGATGTCTTCCAATCTGACACTGCATCTCTGAATGAGTCTATCCGAGGGGATGTTTTAGCTTTTGAGTAAACCAATAAAATTGCAATTCACCCCTTCGTTGGGATCCCTCATCTTATCCGCACATGGATGTCGGTTCCCAGTGGCTGGGTTTTGGATTCAGAGCTGAACCAATCAACATAAGTCCTCACACATGTATCATCGGTGTGTCTGTTTCCCCACTCATTTGGCCTTACATTCATTGCTAATGTGTTGTGGGTCATGGTGGATGAACATGCAGGTTGCTACAGTTCTTCCTTTTGCACTATCCCTTGAAGATTTACATATGCCGAAGATTATACTGCACTGGGGGTGGTTCCTGTCTGATTGGTTTTGAGTGGGATGTTGCACAATATGGGAACATCTAGATTATTCCAATCGTCTGGATCTCGGGTTCCCGGATCAGTAACTTATTATTTATTTCCTCACATGCTCACAAATTCGTGGGGATGATAACTCCCTCTGGTCTGCTGAACTTGAGGAGAAGATGGTATAATTTTCTTTACTACCCCCTACTTGATGGCTAGGTTTTGGATTGCAGTTGATTGGTTGTTAGTATGATCCTTTTTCCTACCTCGATATGGATGTCAGTTCCCGGGGGGCTGGGTTTTGAAATGTAGCTGACTTGTTGATGGTATGATCTTTCCTACCCTCTCATGGATGTTGGTTTTCGGTAGCTGGGTTTTGGACTGCAGTTGACTTGTCGCTGGAATGATCCTCTTTCCTACCCCCCACATGAATATTGATTCCCACTGGCTGGGTTTTGGATTGTAGTTGACTTAATTGTGGTATGATTCTCATCCTATCCTCACATGGATGTCATTTGCCGGTTACTGGGTTTTGGATGCAATTGACTTGCCCTGTATGGTTGGTTGTACCCTAGCCACTTTACGCCTTGGGGCACATCCTTTTACTTTCACCCACATTAATGTCTCCCGAGGGATTGAGATTCCAATATCATGTGGTCTGGATCCCAATCCAAACATTCTTCTCTCCATTTTCTGCCCATGTTTGCAACACCTCTTTCCACGCTGGGCATAGAGTATACCTGGTACAGATGTGGTACAGTCTCCCATTTAGGATCATTTACTGTGAGGATCTCCACTTTTAGGATGCTCTTCAAATGCTTTCGAAGGGTGCTTCTTGCTTTCCCTTGGACCGGTCCCTAACTATATGGGATTCTAACTATATCTGTGAGTAGAGGTAAGGTATCGTATTGGAAGTTATAGTTTTCCTATATTGAAAATGTATTTCCGATAGATATTTATTTCCCCTCACCTTCCTTCCCATTAACAACTGGTGCTTCCATTTTCTGATAGTGATAGTTCGATAGAATCGAATAGAGTGAGTCGCATCCATTAGGAGGATGTGTTGCACTCATATTGGTGGAGGGTTGTTGCATGATGATTTGCATGTGAAACACAGTTGAACCACGGTGATCGTAGGGTATGTGGGAACTCAAGGCTTGTGGCATGAAAAAATATTTTTGCATATTGAGGGAAGCAGTGAATGAGAATAGTTTTTTGTGAGAGGAGGTAAGTACCTGTTGGAAATACATTTTCAGTATAGGAAAATTATAACTTACATAAAAAATTTTTATATTGGATTAACTACCATAAAAACATTTTATATCTTTCTGAATATTAGAAACTTCTTAAACTTTTCATTGTATACATCTAGGTGTAAATGTAATATATAAATATATTTAAACAACTGTATTCATTCACATTTTATTGATACATTTGGGAAGCTGCACACTTTGTAAACTGACAAATTCTTGAAAACCAAAATTGTATTAATATACTTGTGCATATCATAACATACTACACAGCTGAAATTATTTTTCAATTCTGACCTGAATTTTTTTTAGAAGTTAAATATATTTGTTGTTTATTTGTTATAGAAACCAGTTAGAAGAGCATCTCGTAAAGCAGCTCTTCTTGCTGCTGAAAAAATTCAGCGTGCTGTGAGGGAGTATGGACTACTGGAAGGTGTAAGAAGTGAAACACCAGAGCCAGAACCCAAGAAGGATTCTACAGTAAAACTAAGCCTCTCTAAAGCATTGAAGGTAGAATTAATAAAAAAACAACAATTAAATATGACACCTACAATGTTACCTAGTAAAAACATTATTAGACCCATTACAGTAGGCTATTCGCATGCTGAACAGAATGCTCTCTATATGGAGTGCTTTGAAGAAGTCCTTTCTCCAGTACAAGTTGCAGCCTGTCGACAAGCACAGCAAGAATATGATAAAGTAATGAAATACATCCTTTCACGAAGGGCCTCCAAAAATGAGAAAGTAAAGATCATATATACTTCACATGAAGGTGAGGTGCTCAGTATTGGACAAGTAGGAGATTCTGGTAATCGAATTACAACTAGTCCTTTGACAGGTGGAGGGAAAAACATCCCAACTAGCATTGTTACAAGACCTCTGGCTTTAGAGGTAAGGCTAGTCCAGGTTACCTCTGTATTTATAGAGAAATCTGGTATTGTACTACAGAAACTCAAGGTTTTATAGTGACAAGATTTTGTAAATAATTACTCTGGATGAGTTGTATGATTTTGTTATACACTTAGTATTGCACATATCTATTGGGAAGGAACTTGCATGGGAAAAAAAATGTAGAAGCAAATGATTCATGCTGTAGCATAACATATACTAGTTAAATTGTCTATTCAGTGCTAGCAGAACTTTGTGTGGCTAAATTCATGTTATCAACTATCTCACTAAAAGTAGTAATTTATTATATATTTAAGGTGTCTATCTAATTTACAAAGATATTCTAGTAGCTAGTTACTAGACATTATTTCAGCTTATTAACTGTTGTTTTTTGTTTTCCTCAAAGTAATGTGCATGTGACCTACGTAATGTGTTTAGTGTAACACTGTATTTTAATTTTACATTAGCTAAAGATACATAATCAAAAATAGAGCATTACAAAAACTTTGTAATGCTGTAAAAATGTTGATTTCTTTAGAATAATTCATTGTATCGTCGTGTTCAGGTGTTCAACCTGCATACCCAAAGAAACAAGTGGAGTTAGGAAGGAATGTTTTTTCATTGTAGAGATGTATAATTTGCTGTATTTTAAGATTTGAGATAATAATTTGCTTTTGATAGGGTCCACAAAATGCTAAACCATCATCAGTTCAGACCATGAGTGGAGAAAACAGTTCTTCTAAGCTTCTAGTTGATACAACTACAGGAGTAATAATGGGGTCATTACCAAAGGATATCACCATACTTCAGCCTTCTACAGGGCAAAATAAAACTACAGGTATGTGTGTATACATTTATGCACATGCTAAAAAATTTGCATCTTGTCTTCTGGCAGTTTGTAAAAAATGAATGAAGTCTTGCTATTTTGCTCCGAATGTTTTGATTTGAATCTGATAGTTGATGAAATGAGATTGCCCAGAACCATATATTGGTCGGGATCTATGCTTTGTCACTTGCCCTACAATAGATTACACTGGTGGTTCATTTACCTGCAATTTTTTAGACAATGAAAAGTTTTTACATATTTGTGGTTTTCAATAATTTCATTGCATTTCAAACCAGATGGCATCAAATATATTGTTCACTGCTTACACGTTTCAAGAAACACCTGTGCATAGCTCATGAATATTTATCAGTGCTATAAATATAGATCCAGACCAGATCTTGTTCAATGCCAATAATAACCTATGAAGCTCACCAGAAAAAAGAAAATTGCGAAATAAATTTAAAATTGACTTGTATCAAGTTTGATTTGTACTTTATAGAACTGTTGTTTTTATAAAAAGTATATGATCATGTTTTTAATGGATTTTAAAAAATATAACTAGTTAATAATGTGAAATAAAATTTTATCAAGCTTATTTCATATAAGTTGTTGAACTGGTTTTTCCTTAAAATATATTTAATTTACAAATATCTAGTTGTTCAATTTTAATTCAGATTGGAATAGAAAGTAAGAACTGAGTGGCAAGGTTTGGACATATATCAACTGTAGAACTTGTTTTGTGATAGAAGCAAAATAAAATCCTTTGAACTAAATTATAAAACTAGATGTACTTGCACAGGGTATCCAAAAGTGTTCTGTTTCAAGTGTAAATAAAACCAAAATTAAGAGTAACAAATATGTTTATTTCTTGCTTTTGAAGTTCATGTGTCATGTTATGTTGTAGTCTACAGAGTGCATAATTCTTCTTGTGATTCATGCCATGCACACGTTTTACAGATGTCATGACTGTACATATTGCAATGTTAAGTGTCCTTTATGTGACATCATTCTCTAGTCTAATGACTGAATGACAGACAACACACTACTGTATACTGGTAGGAGTTGTTAAAACAGGTGAACCTTCCAGGTGGTCTTTGACCCCCTTTCAGAAAAATAAGTAACACTATATCATCTTGAATTTTTATTTTCAGCTTTTTAAACAACTTTAAAAGAAACTGAAATTCTAAAATGAAAGGAAATTTTTAAAGTATTTTTATTAGTGTCTTACAACACAGATAAACTAAATCAAATTATATGAATTTATTTAAGTTGAAACTAGATACTATTTAAGTATTATCCCCAAAAGGGGGTCAAAAGGCCACCTAGAGGGGGTTACCTGTTTTAACCACTCACACTAGTGTGTTCTCAGTCAGTCAGTAGACACTAAAATGACATCACATAAGGGATGCTTAATGTTGCAATTTGTACTGATGTGTAGTTAGTAAAAAGTCCAGGGTCATTTAAAGAAGTACATCTTAATTTGACAATTCTTAACTGTTTTACATTGGCTTATTATTATTGTGGACATGACAATATAACAGATATTATATTGGATCAACATGTAGGAGAGAAGAGTGAGCATGCCATGAATCATGAGAAGAATTATGCACTCTGCAGTCTACAACACAGCATGACTTTGATCAAGTCAAGATATGTGTATGTGAAGTTGTGTTTTTCGCTATCCCGAAGGTATACACATCGGGTGTAACTGTATTTGAAGGAACAGGCATGCACGTCCAGGCTTTTTTGCAAAAAACTCATTATTTTTCAACCAATTTTTCTAAGTAATACATCAATACATTACCAAAAGTGTCAAACTTAAGTGGTCGTGCCCACTTATAAATTAAAGTCTGTCTTTGACCGATTCTTCTGATACATTCTGCTAACATGATATTTATGTATTATACATCATTTGAAAGATTTTGAGCTCTAGTATATGATGATATAGAAAATTCAAAGATTCAGGATGTGTGGCAGTTGCTAGGAGACTTAGAAGAATGTGAAAAAATGCTTATTGTAAAAATGGCCTGTTTTACACAAACTTACACTTATACCTTAATATCTAATATTTGAAATAACACAATAAACATATAGAGCGGGTCTTCAAAATTATTTTGGTACTTATTTGATAAAAATTGGTTGAGAAATAAGTTCTCAAAAGGATTTTCTAAACGTGGTGATTTTGGCGTCGCTACGCCTTTGCAATTCCTGGCATTGTTCTCATATTGAAGGCCTAGTCTGAAGGGGAGGGGAAAAGTAAAACCTAGACACACCCTTAGTAATGAATGTGCCTTCTGATCCGACACATCAATTGTCCACAAATGTCCAGCCTACTCCAAGCATGTCAGGTATTGTTTGAATATCATTTATGCAAAAGAGTTTGCCCATAAATAATGTAGCATGTAAGGAACTTTAATGATGAAAAATACAAGGTTATCAAGCCCTTTGAAAATTCTGTGCATTTTTCTTGTCCACCTTTGATTTGAATATCATTTTTTCTTGCCAAGGTGTCCCTATTTCCCAAATGGAATCTCTTTTTGTCTAACAGGATTTGCATCAAGAAAGAGAATGTCAACAACCAGTATCACAGATGAAGAAAAACTGCTTGAGACACGGAAAAGGAAGCGTGAATGGGCTTACAAAAACAGGCTTAATATGTCCCAAGATAAACGGCTTGAGATGAGGTCAAAAAATAAAGAGCAGCAGCAAAAACATAGGTCCAATTTGTCTGCAGAGGAACTGTTACAAATAAGATCTAGAAACAGAGAATTGCAGAAACAGCATAGGTCAAGTTTGTCTGAAGAACAACAGCAAGAAATAAGATCTAGGAATAGAAAACAACAGCAACAGCGTAGGGCTAATATTTCCCAGGAGCAACAACAACAAATAAGGGCCCAGGATAGAGAACGCCATCGACACCAACGGGCACAAATGAAACAACTACAGCTAACTGCTTATCCTTTTGCTGATCAAGTGAAATTCTTGGAAGATTTTGACCCAGTAGATGGTTGCCATATGAACTTTAAAAGCAAGAAATAAAAATATTTATTATTCTTAATTTTGGTTTTATTTACTCTTGAAACAGAACACTTTGCGGACCCTGCACAAGTACATCTAGTTAGTAAGTTGGTTCTAAATTTTGTGTAATTTGTTTAAGTATTTCCACTGTCAGGAGAAAAAAAGTTAAGGGATATTCGTGACATCTTCTCTGTCTGTAAAGAGTTAATGTGTATTTTACATTATTATTGTGTTCCTTTCCCATTTTTATATGGTCTTTGAACACAGAATTAAATTTTTTTCCATCTCAAAAACCATTATACCTAAGAGGGGTATTAAAATAGAAATGGTTGTGAACCTCTGCATTAATGGCTTCCAAGATGGTAACTTACATCCACACACATTAGCAATCTTCCTCAGTGTGTTTGGCAAAGAGATTAGCATGCCACTAGCCTTGAACTAACTACTACCATATTTTCACATGATTTTACATGAATTGAACCACTACATGGTGATGTCATCATATGACAAAAACCCTCCACCAATAGAAGAGTGATGAGGCAAGTAAGAAAATGTGCACCAGGAAGGGGAGGATGGGTGGTTGGGGATGTGGGAATAGGTATCTATTGGAAATATATTTTCAACTAAGGAAAGTGTTAACTTCCAAGATGATAACTCACCTCTGGACACAGATTAGCTAGAAATGTTATTTTTAATTTTAGTTCATTATGCTTTCCACTGTTGTTCCTGCTTTAAGCAGAGATAGATGGAATTTCAGTATTATGCTTCACCATTTATCTGACATTAGGTCCCTGCATGTTTTCATGGATTTTAAAAGCATTGGCAGTCTTATTGTGCATCATTACCTTGATGATTTGATACTGATTTTTTACTTTTGTGACCAGTGTTTATAGAGTGTGTATCAGGTCCATGTCTCTCCGAGAACTAGAGAACCTAGTATGCAAAAAGACAAGGGTAATAATTTGTATTTGGTGGGAAAAAAAGAGTGATATGGGTTGGTCCTGTAGAAGAACTCTGGTTTCCAGAGCTAGCACAGCAGGTTCGAATCTGTGCAATACCATAAAATATTCCCTGCACTTTATAAGCTGAGGGTGAGTGAATTATAAGAGTGATAGTCAATCCCATAGCATTGGTAGTGAGTAGTTAGGCGCTGCTGACTGGTTGCATTTCCTCTGGTAAGTAGCTCAGAATTAGGAATAGTGGCAGATAGCCTTAGTAGCTTTGCCACAAATACAAACAAAATGGAAGAAAGTGACAAGGCACGGTGTTGAACTTTGAAATAGAAAAAAAATGTTTTATTACTGGTTCATATAAACTGAAGAGTGACTGATCATTAAAATGGGCTATTGCAAGGTGATATGTGATAAAGTAATTACTATGAAAATACAAATGATAAAACAAATTAAATAGATGAAATAAAGACAAACCTTTGCTGATGAATAATCAAAGTGAATAAAGCACATATGACCAGAAGTAGGGATGAGACAAGAACCAAAGGAAGACAAAAGCAGACTTGATTGTCTCACATGAGTCTCTAAGATCAAATAACATCTGTCTGAGAATGTCAAAACTGCATTCTCAAATCTTCTCTGTAGCTAACTAATTAGAAAATGTGATCACAAGAACTGAATGTATCGGCTCCATGTTACATTCGAAAAGCAGGGTTTTGTACAATGTGTAAAGTAGGATACAATACAACTATCCCATAAAACTGATAAGTTTCTTGATTGGACATGTTTCATGTAGTAAGACCTCAGGCTGAATTTAACACATGACCTTAACCAGATTTAACAATTTCCCTGTTCTAGATTAGAGCTTTAAAAATTATGTAGGTATGAAATGTAAGCTACAGTAGTGCAAGGTATGTAGTACTTGCATACCACACTAATACATTTGTATCTGGCTTTGTAAATTAGTCAATCTCATCACTGGCATACATAGGTGCAGAGATCATATTTCAAGAATTCTGGTTTACTTTCTTTCATTTCTGAATT